GTAATTATGTACAGTTTATTTATAATATTGAAGTTTAAATAATATTTATCAATAAACGATATTTTATATGTAAAAAATAATTTTTAAACATTTTTATTAAATATTTTATAATATAGTATATATAATTATCCCCGTTTGACTTGTTCGTTATCACTTACAGCATTTTAGCCGAGTATTCAATACCAAATATGACTTTTTTCCACTTTGGAACGTTTGGGACAATCGAAGAACGGGAGACGAATAAAACACAGTACTCAGGTGATTAAATTGCGTGTTCCATTTTTAAGTTGGAGCGGGTGTTTCTGTGAGAGATGTCGGGGCCGGAATGCTATGCAAATCCACCAGAGATGAACAGTAGTTCTGGAAACGGGAGCATCGAAGAAATCGGAGGCCTGAAAGCCTATGTTACTGGAAATCGCTCTGCAAATCTGGCCATCTTGCTTGCTTCTGATGCTTTTGGTAACAATTTCATCATCCATCCCTCACTTATAATAATAACCATGGCCTATAACTTTGTTTGCGATGACTTTCACTGCAAATTGATTACAAATTACTGGTGATAAAACAAACTATAACAAATATTAAATCAATATCCTTTGGTTTAAAATTACTGCTAACATCTTTATTAATACAATTTGTTTCAAATATATGATTGAAGTTGCAAGGGGTTTTTTGATTTTTATTTGTAATAAATATGTATGCAGGTTATGAAGGAGTTATGTTGAGGTAATTGTGAAAGGTTTCAATTCCATAATCATCTCATCATATTTGATTCACATAAACGATAGTTAGATACGCATGTGTATACGGTGTATACAAGTAATTGAAGATGTGTTTTGGTTTTCATGCGGCAACAACTCACTGTACCTTATACATGAATGGTTATTGGAGTGTTTTTTTCAGTTTTTTTTGTCGTTTTCCTTAGACTCGACCCTATATATATACTTCTTTTTGTTTTCAAGTCTAATTTTAATTTCGACATCCTTCTTAAAATCTGATTTTTTTTCATTTAAATGTCAATCTCCTCTGTTCTTTATCTTGGTCTCTCATTTTCACCCACAAATGCATCTGTCTTTAGAATTCAAGTGAATGCAATCAACTGGATGTAGATTTATATTAATGGGTTTGTATCATGTGGTTTTCGTGACCATCTGTACTCGGGAACTAAAGGAGCATCTTTAATTAATGGTCGGACTGTTTTCATTACCAAATACCAATGTGGGATCTCCGGACATAGGATTTGGGTCAATGCATGGTAACAGTTAATCCAGCTTAAACAACAACGGGTGGTTTAGAGATATAAGCTACTCGAAAGAATGTAACAAGAGATCGATGAAGCATAAATGAACAGTAAGAGTTATAATGGTTTAGAGAAACATGCACTCCTTAAGATGAGGTCGATATTTTTGTTACTTGTACAGGAAACTTGCTGACAAAATATCTGCTCTTGGATACTTGGTTGTCGTTCCTGATTTCTTCTTTGGGGGTCATATTTGCACCACGAGTCCTCCACAAGTTCGAGCAAACTGGTTACATAATCATCCTCCAGTCAGTTCTCTTCATTCCTTTTCTTTTCCATAGACTCACAAAACCACCGCACCTCAGCAGTAGGATCAAATCACAGGCCTGCTGCTGACTTGCAGTGATTTTTCTCCCCCATGTTGCCTGTGGGTGTATAGCCTTTTTTGAACATGGGATCAGTAGAGTATAGATGATGAAGATTTTATTTACAAACTGGTGGTCTGTCCCCGATAGCATTATCATTTTTTTAAAGTATATAATATTTATATACTGCAAATTAATGAACTCACACACCCTCCTCACGTGTAAACCCTCTATATACCACTAGACGATAGGCCCTTTGGTAATAGCATCATCGTTGTTGGGTGAATAATTTGATCATGTATAATACCTTTTGATGCATAATTTGAGTGTATTCAGGAAAAAGGTTGTGAAAATGCAAGGAAGATAATTGCTCAACTTAAAAGCAGAGGAGTATTTGGTGTAGGGGCTGCTGGTTTTTGCTGGGGAGGTAAGTTGCTTTTATTTCCCGTTAAATAAATTGCACCAAACATCCTTAAATAATTACAATATAAACCCCAAATGAATTATAATGATAATAAATAGATAAGTAAATAGACTAGTTTAAATTTAAAAACTTGCTAAAAAGAGAAAATGTTGAAACCTTCTTTCTAGTATGTAATATTCATATACATATATCAGTTGAAACATTCACAAGCTTCTCATTAGTGAAGTTTGAACTTTTGACTGACTCCTAATCTTTTAGTGAGGTTTTGACCTTGGACTGACTCCTATTCCTTAGTGAAGTTTTAACCTTGGACTGACTCTTTGGTAAGTGCTGATGGAAGTAATTTTCTGGCTCGGAAGAGAGGTTGTATATTTCTTATTTTGTTTTCAGGAATGATGGTTGCTAAATTGGCAAAATATGACGACATTAAGGCTGGTGTTATATTGCACCCTGGTCGCCTCACAGACGATGATATCAACGGTATGTTTTTGCTCCCTTTTCTTTGGGCAATGTTATCAAAATGACCAATCTTGGAATAAAAAAGTGACATCTTAACCATTGTTTCAGCATTCTTATTGATTCCACTTATCGGTGGATTCACCTTTACCTAAGAAGTGGTACCCACTTTTCCATGCATTTCGCCTTATTTTCATGCATTTGCATGGAAAACAATTACTTTTTTCTGTCGTGTGGATCCCACTTCTGACGAAATCAAAATGGTGATTTTGAGAATAAACCCCAATGTGAGAATGCATAAAAACATAGTCTTTTTATACCAAAAATGGTGATTTTAAGAATAAACCCCGACGAAAATTCTATTTTATGAGAATGCATAAAAACATAGCCTTTTTATACCAAAAATGGTGATTTTGAGAATAGACCCTGACGAAAATGTTCAATGTTTCAGAGGTGAATGTTCCCATTGCCATATTGGGAGGCGAGCTTGACAAACTATGTCCACAAGAAGAAGTGAAACATTATGGGGACATTTTATCATCAAAACAAGTAAAGCTCTCTTCTTAATTGTTTTTACCTAAAAAGTTAACGAGTTTTTAATTATTTTGCATGTGTTAGTAATGAAATAAAATTCTTTTTGTGAATAAAATGTACAGGTTGAGAGCTTTGTGAAAATATTCCCAGGTGTTAGTCATGGGTGGGCTTCAAGATACAGTGAAGATGATGAAGTTGCCGTAATGAGTGCTCAAGAGGCTCATACAGACATGCTGAACTGGCTTACCAAGTATGTCACATTTTAAAAGCCATATATATAGGGGCATAAGTTAAATAAGAACCAAAAGAAAAGGTGAGAATTCTGAAAACCAAAATCATGTTTTGTTTCACTTTGTAAATCAATGCATGTATATGAGAATATAGTGTTCTTTCACAATATGAAACATAAAATACACATTGTGAAACACCACTACATTTTACTGAAGCATTTTTTCACGTGAAACAACACACGATTACTGGTTCTCATGGTTCTAAACTTTTTTGTGGTTCTCATTTGATTATTCCCTGTATATATGTATATGTATATATAGGAAAGATCAAGGTAGAACTCCGAAAAAGAACCAAAAAAACTTATCCAAACCGTTAGATTGAATATAACGGATGTGTGTGTAGATAATATATATATATATATATATATATATATAATAGTTGCGTACCCCTGCAATAATATGCCAATGCATCTGAATTCTGTATCCGAGAATCCAAAACATCAATCATGCGTCATGTTTTGTTCTATTTTTTGTCGCATTCAGTGCTTATACTATGGTTTTGTATGGTTTTGAAACACGAATAAGATGGTATATAAATTCAAGACTAACTGTTTGACCCCCACAATTCTCAAATGTAAGAGTAATGAAAAATATTCTAAGTATGGAAGTCTGGAGACCCGACGGAGATCCAAAAGAGGAGCATAATAATTCTAAGTGCTAAAGATCAGAGATACCATGAACACAATTCAGAGAGGCTATGAAGATCGGAAGCACTTAACCTGATGATCATCTACTATTAAAGAGTTCATTTGGTTGATGAACTTAGCCTTTCCATAACTCCTCTGGTTTCAGCAGCTGAAGAATCACACAAGTATCAACCATTGTTCGATCAGATCAAGCCTAACCAACTGATGCATGGAGGACGCTGATTGGATACGCCACCTATAGAGACAGTTGGACGACTTGACACATGGAAAGTCGTGACTCATCGCCAGTCAAATTTGGTTATTCTAAGCAGTTAGAGATAATCATTATCACTCATTATCACTTCTAGATAGATATCTTTTCTACGTTTATCTCATAGATATCCTATCTTAGATTGTTATCCCTTAGACTAGATTTCTAGTATAAATAGCTTCCATATCTTGTAATTTTGGTTGACCTTCCCATTATAAATAATTACTTGTGATAGCTTCATACGTTCTTGAATGTTATCCAAGTTGTTCCTATTTTCTTTATCACCTAAAGGTAGATTTAGGTCTTTTTGCTTAAATCTTCTTGTTGATTGAGAGATCTGAGATCAACAACTGGTATCAGAGCAAACTGATTGATTTTTTAATTAAAACGATCAATTTGAATATGTGTACTCAATATTCTCTCAATTTCTTTTGGATTTATATTTCTAATCTTCATACTCAAGTTCTTCTAAATTTTCTCCAAATTCATCATCAACGGCCAACCTTACAGCGTTGGATCTCTCATAAAACACCCAACTCTTCAACGTGAGGAATATCCTCAATGGAAGATCAGAATGATAAATTTCTTCAAGGGGATGGACATAAATCTCTATAGATCTGTCACCAATGGCCCATACATACCTCATACACTAATTCCTAGAGTTCCTGCCACTACCAATGAAATTCCAGTGTACTTCGTTCTGAAGAATGAGAAGTCCTGGAATGCTGAGATATTGAAAAAGTGGAAATAGACTAGAAGGCCAAGAAATTTCTCATTATGACAATCCCAAATGAGATTTTTCAATCTCTAGACACATGCAAGATGGCGAAGGAAATCTGGGATGAGTTGGCAAGCCAACTAGAGGGAGGGGCCAAGGCCAAGAAGAACAGAAGGGCCAAATATGTGAATTGGATACATGAATTTCAAAGTACTTTCAGATGAACCAATCCAAAAAATGTGTGACCGACTCAATACGTTAATAAATCAATGTCGTAGAAATGACATCACAAGAAAAAAGGAAGAAAACAACGTTCTATATCTCAAAAGTCTCGGCAATGAATGGACACAATTTTCCATGTCTCTACAAGCAAACCAAGATCTGGGTAGCTGGTTGTTTCATGACGTATATGGAAATCTTGCTGCTGAAGAGCAAGACATCATGAAGAAAAAGGTGTCCATTGGAGGATCTCTGGCCCTTGTCTTTGATGAAAAAGAGACTTCCAGAGGCTCTTCAAAGGAACATCACAAGAAGAAGGCAAGAAGGCCTTAATAATAGGATCATAATATGAAGATGAGAGCTCAAATTCAAACGATGATCTCAAAGCGTTGCTAAATCTCTTGCTCTTATCACTAAACAGTTCCAAAGAAATTCCTCAAGAGGCCCTATGAGAAGGACAACAAAGAGAGTTCAGAAATGAGAGATTTCTGCCTCATCATGAGCAGAAGACAGTAAAGTTTAATCAAAGAGATGAAAGGAGAGAAGACAGAAGAGAGGAAGCCAGAGAAGACATAAGAGAAGACATGAGAGAAGAAGGAGATGGAAGAAAAGAAATGTTAGGATCAAGTTTTTGTGCTTAATATGTTGTATCCAAGCTTTATGCTTCTAGTGTATGTCTTGTATCTATATAGGTGCTTTGTTTGTAATCTTTATCAGAGTGCGCTTAGAAGAGCTTAGCAAGAATTCATTTGTAATCATTTGAAGAGTCTAATACATTTGGTGCTTAAAGAATTCTCTCTCTACAATTTTCTATTTTCTCTCCACATTTTCATAATTGTGCTAATTGTGATCTTGAATCTTTGGATTGTTATTGATTAGTCTTTCTGGGATTATCAATTGATATCAGAGCAGATTACAACAACTTAGAGGATCAGATTGAAAATAATCTGACTGAATTTGAATCTTAATTGGACATTTCTTGATCGACATTTTTCTTGCTACTGTTTGAATCAATTGTTCATAATCTTTTTGAATTTTGATGTATGTTTGATTGATTTGTGTTCGAATTTCCATTTTGGATTGTTTAGAACCATTCATTTTCGAAATTGAATCGATTTCATATATCAATTTTGAATTTTTTGGCAATTCGTGTTCTTGAAGTGTTCATACACTGTTGTTGCGATTCTCATTAAAATTGGACCAATTTGATTTTTTTTTTGGCATGAACTGGTATTAAAAACTTGTTTTTGATCATCTTGCAAAATAATTTGTACAAGTTTTATCCTTGTTCGAGTGATTTTGAGTCAATTTTTGGAAAATCTGTGCAAGTATCCTTTATCGCCTGTTGAATTGAAGTGTTGTCCGATATCTTGCCTTCATCATCTATTGAATTGTTTTCATCATTGGTATTTTGGGCGATTAGAATTGTTTATCAATAAGGATGTAGGCGATAAGGAGTTTTGATTGATTAAGTGTTATCTGATAAGGAATTGTATCCAGTCAAAGCTTGTCGGATAAGAGCTTGTGATCGATAAAATCTTGTCCGATAAAAGGTTGTTATCGATAAGAGAAGTTGTGCGATAAGATTTTTGGTCGATTAAAGGTTTGTGCAATAAGCAGGTTTGTCCAATAACCTGTGTTGAGAGATAAAAGTGGTGTGTGATAATCGTTGTGTCTGATAAGAAAGTTTTTGAAAGTGTTAAGTGTTGTCCGATTAGCAAAGTGATAATCTGGTTTCTAAGTTTTGAACTCTATTAAGATCGAAGATTTAATCAATATTTTGAAGTGATAAAAATGGCTTTTATGATAGAAAGAGAGAACAAGGAACTGAAAGAGAGAATTACTGAGTTGGAATTTTTTTTGGAAAAGGAACAAGATAAATATATTGCAATGTTTTATGAAAACAATTCAAATCTATGCTGGGCCAAAGATATGGTTAAGGAAAATGATCAATTTTTAAAAGAAAATAAATTTTTAAAAGAACAAATTGATGAATTTTTTCTAGAGGTTTTTCGTCTGATTATCAAGAAAAAAATGTTGAGCAAATAAAGAAATTCTTTGAATTGACAACTAGAGTTTATGAAGTTGAGAAAGCATTGACTTCTGAAAGAAGAGTGTTTGAGAAAGAAAAGAAAATAATAGTAGAACAGGAAAAGTTGATAGAGGCTGAAAGAAAAGAGTTTGAAAAGGAAAAAAATAAATTTTCTGATGTTGTTAAGAAGTTTGATGCTGAAAAGAGGTTTAAATAGACTGAAAAGAAATTTCATGTGGAAAAAAAAATCTTGAAACCAAGATTAAAGCTCTTGAGTTGAATAATACAAAGCTTTCAGAGAAAATATCTGAATTTGAGAAGATAATTATTCTGGAAAGAACTAAGTTTGAAGCTGAAAAGAAAGAATCTGAGAAGAAGTATCTGGAGATTTCAAAGAGCGTTGCTGCTAAGCAGAAGAATTTGGATGAAGAGAGAAAGTTATATGCTATTGGAAGAAAGAATGTAGCAAAGAAAACGCAACAATAGCTAAGGAGTTGACTAAAAAGATGAAATGGTTAAATGTTGCCTCAGATTATGAGAAAGAAGTTTTTGAAAAGGAAAGGAATGTTTTTGAAAAAGAAAGAAAATTTTTGGAAAGCAAAATTTCTGAACGTCAAAGAAGTTATATGAATTAAAAACTAATCTTGCGTCTGAGACGAATATGAGATCTGAGTTTAAAAAGAAATATGATTTAGTTACTTAAGAAAGAGATCAGTTGTTAAAGAAACTCAAAGAATTTTTTGAAACTAGTACTTCAAGTTCAACTAATTCTCTTTCTAATTGTAAAATCTGCATGAATGATAGTTCTATTGTCAAATCCAACAGTTATTCAAACAGTTCTAAATCAAGTGTTTCAAAGAACAAATCTCATATTCCAAATCAGTTCTACAAAGGTTATGTTATTGAGTCAGATAATCATTTTAAAGAATGAAAAAGATTTGGTTGAAGAAATCTGATGTAAAAGATTCTGATGGTAAGTCTTCTCAATATACTATTTGTAATAAGAAGTCATTTGTTTCTAAGACTGTTTTACCTTGTGTTGTTAAAACTACTAACCAACTTATCAGTCTTAGCAAGAGAAGGATTCACTGTTCAAATTGTGAAATAGATGACTTTATTAACAAAAAGAAAGCTAACAACTGGTATGTAAAAGGCTGGAAGGAGAATAACAGGTATGATAACAATTGGTATGGTACTTATTGCATATCTGATTTCCCTGTGAAGAGTTTTAGAATGAAAATATCTGATTTGAATAAATGGTATGATACATACAATATTCCTCAAACCAATGCTAACAAATTAGGATCCATGAAAGTATGGATACCAAAATCTGTATAATCTGTTTTGCAGGATTATCATGTACTATGTTGAATTCAGACATTGAATTACATGATAAACTTATGTTTGGTTTGAGGGGGAGCATATGGAATTTGAGCTTTAAGATAGCTTCTACATCAGTTTAGGACCTGGCCTTCAACATAGCTTCTAAGCACATTAGTTTAGGACCTAATCTTCAATACAACTTCTGAACAACGCAGTTCAGAACCTGAGCTTATCTCAATAAAGGGAGTATAATGTTTATTCTTTTATACTGTTTTGAATGGGATATTAATTTAAAGGGGAGTGTATGTATTTTTATTAATTGGTGTCAACTATTTTAGTGTTTGGATTTTATCTGATATAGTTTCAAAAGGGGATTAAGTAATTTGTTATTCATATTGAATATAAGATGGAAATTTTAACTGATATTTTTTACAGGTTTTTTGAAGGAATAAGAGTTGGGAGTGAAAGTTCAATCCGAACATAATTCTGTCCGATGACGTCCTAATTCGGTCAAAGGTGTGTCATATGAAAAGATAATCCGGATAAAGTGTTGTCCAATGAAGATGGTATCCAACTACACTTTGAGCAATATGGTATTATTCAAAGATGTATTGAGCGATGAAAGGTACTCCGGACATAACCTTGTCCGATGTAGTGACAATCCGGACATAAATTTAAGCGATGAGTGATCTTGTGTTGAGCGATGAGGTAACATCCTTGAGCGATGAGTGTAGATAGTTGAGTGATGAGAGACTTGTGTTGAGCAATGAACTCCCCTCATCGACCACAATGGTGAGCGATGAAACCTCTCATCGGGTAGGCTTTGAGTGATTTTTTTAATAAATTTTTTTAATCAATATTTTTTTTGCATGCTTGTTTTTATATGCTTAGAAGAAGAACAACTTCTAAGTATATTAAAAATGGTTTTACAAATG